GTTTGGTACCATGGTTGCAATTTTCCCTAATAATAATGATGATAATAGAACTTAGCACATGCTAGTCATCCATTTATTAGGAATCAACCACACTACAAAACTAAAAAGTTGAGAACAGTGTTGTCAAGAAAAATAACTAGGGTCCATCGATTTGGGAACAAATTTCTCTAATATCTATATGGTAGGACATTGGAAAAGATAAAGCAAGGAACTGAAAATTTTAATACACCTCATTGCTGTCAAAGTTTTTGCCAAAAAGATAAATAATAGGAAAATTTGCAATTGTGGTTCCAAACCATTCATTTTATTGTAGATTATATTCAAAATTTTTATTTGTTCCACCCACAGTCACATACCTATAATTTCATTGTAGGAGAAGGACAAATTGGCAAATTTTGTTAATTTGACCGTTAATTGATAAAAAAAATAAAAAAAAGTTCTTATTTTGACTAATCAAAAGAAGGGCAAAATTGTAATTTAATTAGTTTGATATAAAATAATTAAAAAATAAAAAATTTAAAATATTATTTATCTTTTTCCCCAAACCTCCACCACAACCAACCAGATTCGCTACCCTCACCCACCCATCATTGATCGCGGCCTGTGCAACTACATAATCTACGACCAATCACTCCTTCCATCATATAAAAACAAGTTTATATTTGAAGCCGTCACTAAGCAAGTAATATAATTTTCATCATACTTTTTTTAATAACGTCCACAACAATGACTACAAGAGCAGGTTCAAGAAAATCCAAGTCAGGAGGTCTAAATGGCTATGGTACCTTATGCCTCTGCTATTGGTTACTTATGTATGTCGGTGTTTACAAGATCAGACGTAGCACATACAATGACAATTGTGAGTAGATATATGACCAATTCAGACAAACAACATTGAGAGGTAGTAAAGTAGATTCTCAGATACTTGAGAGGTACTTTAGATTTAGCTCTATGTTTTCGAAAATTAAGTTTGGGATTACATGACTATGTTAACGCTGACATGACATGAGATAATGATGGAAGGAAGGGTACTTTGGAGGATAGAATCTTGACACTTGAGAAGATTTAGGGGAGTCAAATTTCCACGATATGTTGAGTAAGAATGTTATGATCGAGAAACTGAAGTTGTGTGCAACTTTAGTTTGACTTATCTTTTGAGGAATGAAGAGCTATTGTTGCTGCAGAAAAGTTGTTGATGGTCAATTAGTCTTCAAGTGGGAGATTATTAAGTTGTGGAGTGTAATTATTGCCAATTTTAATTATTGTTAATCCTAACTTGTGAAGAGTCATTAAGGACTATTTATAATTTTGTATTCTTGTATATTTCTATTAAGAAATTGGAGTCCTTGTAAAATTCGATTTTGTCCTAAACGGGAGTCCTTAGGCTTTTTTTATTATCATCATCAAAATGGGATAAAGGGAGGCTAAAGAAGATATGAGTTCAATTTTCTCTTGTAAATCTTTTTTCATCATAGTGAATTACTACAGGGACAGGAAATGACATAGTCTCACATTAAAGCAAACATATGTTCTTGAATTTTATTTTTCTTTCTTTTAATTGATTGCTCTCAGTGAAATATAATTAGGGTTCTTAATTCTCAACATAATATGGGGTCAAGAAAACTAAGCTTAAAAGTCCAAGTTTTTCCTAGTCGTGTGGACGCACAAGAATAAACTAGGGGTGACTATCACAATTCAATAATCCCGCTCGACTCATATCTAGTTCTTCCCTTACCATTCACACAACTCAAGTAGAATGCATTTAATGGAAAGCATAACTTCATTTAATGTAAAGATAATGATATGAAAATATTAAAGTTATTGATTTTTTAATTAGTCACATATGTTTGTGTGGTCAATTTTTTCATGCTTACTTCAACCGACACGTCCATCTTTGTCCCTAACTTACAATATCACTTCATTCAACTACATAAACCTTACCACAATCACTCAAAATTGTTGGAATTTGGTTAAAAGGGATGAAATTGATTAAGTATAAAGCCATGAAAAATGTGAAAAGTGACTTTCGTGTCAATTTCAATCAAATATTCGAACTTGATATGATAGTCAAATTATGAAAATAAATAGACTAACTTGTTCTACTCATCAAGTAGATGATCGTGATATACTTGGAATCTCACTATCAATTTTCAATAAATGAGAAATTGTGGTCCAAAATTGGAAGGAAAAACTCGATTTACAACACCTATGACCGCCGCTCGATCGGCAGCCTAGCGTCAGGCGAGCGACAAAGTTTATGCTTTTGGCGCTTGAGCGACGAACCAACGGTAGGCGACGACGGAGAAAGGTGCATCCTTTCACGAAGGTTGATGAGTTTTGGGGCATGTCTCTCCATTCACACCCCCTCATCTTCTATAAATTGAACACATTGGATGTCATTTAGGCATCCCAATTCATATTCTTGAGTCTTGCATATTTCATATTCTTGAGTCTTGCATATTTTGGGAGATAATTCTCGTTACTTTGTTAGAACCGTTGCGGCGCAAATTTGTCTTAAAGAAAGAGTGTTATCACTTGTCTCGAATCATTCCATCCAAATTTCTCCTTCTTTTTGGTTCTACTATCTTCCTTTGTCGTTTAACATTATTTTTGTGTTGTTAAACTTGTGCTAAAACATTGTCTAAATACAAAACAACTTATATACCATATCATTCAACAATCTTAAGACAATTTTTTGTTGTTTTATTGGATAAAAAAATCAGTGTTCTTCATCTTTTAGAATAGGCATTTGTGCTATTCAATTCTTGAAATATCTTGTGTTGAACTTCTATTTACATTATAGATATGAATATTGTTGAGACTACTTCGAGTGAAACAACAAATGCTACAAATAATGTGATTCCGCTTTGGCTATTCCACTTCAAAATACTCCAATTTCACATGGGAAAAAATCGGAGAAATTTGGAGGAGTGGACTTCGAGAAATAACAACAAAGATGTTTTATCTTTCTACTTTAAACTTGGCAAAGTTCTTAACTGAAATCCCTCTCACGATAAAAGAAGGGGAAAGTAATCGTGAATCAATTATTGCGTTAAATGCATGGAACACTCGAATTTCCTTTACAAAAAACTACATCCTAAATGGATTGGACTCTTAAGATGCAACTAGCGGTAGGTGAACGACATAGAAATTGTGTGTCCTTTCACAAAGGTTGCTATGTTTTGGATCATTTCTCTCCATTTATGCCCCTCATCTTCTATACATTGGACCCTTAGACATCATTTAGACATCCCAATTTGTATTCTTGAGTCATGCATCAAAAATTCTTGCTAAAACTGTCCCAAACTTTGCATTCAGAATCATTCTTTCTAGAGAGAATAATTCGTTCAAGTTCGTTGTTGCCTTATAGTTGGAAGTGTTCCTACCACAAAGAAGTAATTAGTTGTGTCTTGGGAGATAATTGTCGTTACTCCGTTAGCATCGTTGTGGGGCAAATTTGTCTTAAAGAAAGAGTGTTATCGCTTGCCTCAGATCATTTTATCCAAATTTCTTCTTCTTCTTTTTGGTTATCATTTTGTGTTGTTAAACTTGTGCCAAAAGATTGTCCACATACAAAACAATTTTTATACCATATCCTCCAAATTTCGATTTTCAGTACCTATGATCGCAGTAGGAGCAACAGCCCAGCGTCGGCGAGAGATAGGGTTCTTTCTTTCGTCGCTTGAGCGATGAGCCAGTGGTAGGCAAGCGTTAGAGAATGGTGCGTCCTTTCATGAATGTTACTGAGTTTTTGGACGTCTCTCCATTCACACCCCTCATCTTCTATAAATTGTTCTCCTTGGATGTCATTTAGGCATCCCAATTCATATTCTTGGGTCTTGCATCAAAAATTCTCTCCAAACTTTGCATTTAAAATTTTCTTTGTAGATAGAATGATCCGTTCAAGTTCGTTGTTGCCTTGTAGTTGGAAGTGCTTCTACTACAAGGAAATAATCCGTCGTATCTTTGGAGTCAATTGTCGTTACTCTGTTAATACTGATTTGGGGCACATTTGTCTTAAGAAAATAGTATTATTACCTCCTCTAATAATTCATACAAATTTCTTCTTTTTCTTCTGGTTCTACCATCTTCCTTTGTGGTTTAACATCATTTTGTGTTGTTGAATTTGTGTCAAAATATTGTCCACATACAAAACAACTTTTATACCATATCCTCCAACAAAAACCTCTTTCAAGTTAAATTTTTTTTATTCAAAATCTAACTTTGACATTGAAGTGTGCTCATCATTTCTCCCTGTTTATGTGAAAAGCCAAGCATACTCGTATTCTTTATGTTTTTAGAAGAATCTACTTCGATAATCTTATTTGATAGTAAACTTGATGTTAACCAAATTTCCGTTGCCAACATTTTGTATGGTATCTTGGGTGGAACAAAATTTGTGAAATGTTCTATGCAATTTTCCCGTTTGGCTCCCATTAATTTATAATACATTTTTCTCTCTTCTTTTTAACCATACATTCTCCAATAACATAATATTACGTATAAATAAATAAAAAACTCCTTTTTTTTCAACCACACATTCTCCAAAAAATACTATTACAAAAATTATAACATCAAATAATGGGACCAAATGGGAGCCTAAATCTATCATAACCGTAAGTGTTTTTTTTTTATTTGGATTGATGACGAGAGATGTATTGCTTTATGTGCCAAAATAACTTGAAATCTGAGCCTAAAAGCCAATGATGATGAGTTTCCAATGATTTCATCTTATCTTATTCCATAAAAGAATAAAATATCAAAATAAACAAATAAAACGTATCATAATTTGTTTTCAAGAGGAAAAGAAAGCGAACGAGAGAACCTCACTTCTGATGTCATTTATAGCTCCCATTATACGCCCTTTTTAGGCTCGTACTAAGTTGAGAACGGATCAATACAATATATCACAATAAAGTGATAGATAGAAACCTCATTCATCTCTTCCCTTTTTTCGTCCCCATGTCGCCACACCGAGGACATGGGGACATAAAAACAAGCTAGTCCGAAAATTGCCAAGCCGAGGCTGTCAACAATGATAAATCCTTCCATCCCAATTTCAACCATCCACTCTCCTCCACCAATGTATACCCTTGCCATGGGAACATCCCCAATAACAAGCTAGCTTGGGCTGCCGGGTTACCCGCGAGGGAAACCGGCCGAAACCCTACCCGGGTCAACTCGTCCCCCCATCGTTCCACCTTAACTTCCCCCGTGCGCTTGGGCCCACCCACGGCGACAATGTTCCTAATCTCATACCCAAACAACTGCTGCTCCACCGTATGCCTCTCTACGCTATCTGCAGCCAATCCATCCCCTAAAGCATCGAACAATGCCGAGTAATAATGCAAGGCCTCGACGAATCTCCCTAGGAAACTCCCCCCGTGACTCAAATCCTGTTCAACGATCGTGATCAATTTCGGCCTCAACAAACTCAGCAACCTCAATGTTACCACATCACTACCGGTTATGTCATACAGGCAATGGTGCATCCAGTGAACAACTACAGTTTCGCCCAACTTGATTCCGAGCTGATTAAGATCCTTTACGTTCCCAATTTTGCCTTCCAGTGGCTGGAACTGAAAAGGGATGTTAAGGGCACTTGCGAATTCTGCCAATCTTTGACCCGTTGAGTTCAGAAGATCCATGGACTGTCCAAGCCCGGTAATCCTAATCGACTTGATTTTTCGGGACCTGGACGCCAGGATGTGAAACAATCCCGGCCACTGGAGTCCCTGCATGATGTCAAGGTCGATTACATGGACATGATCTACACCATCCAATGCCTGCTGGATGGCTTGATTGGCTGTGAAATGTGAAAATTTGATCAAAGGGGTGATGGAATTGTAGATTTGGAGGGCATTGAGGAGCTTTTGTTGGTGGGTTTTGTAGAGTGTGGTGAGAGGCGAGTAGGTACCCAAATAGGAGCTGATAATTCGAGACGACAACGCGTCGGCAAAATACGCCCCGACGCGTTGGGCTGATGAGCCGAAGGGAGAAGAAAGCTCGGCTATCTCCGGCAGAAGTTGGCCGGCGTCGTCGAGATTGTCCATAGCAACACACTCTGCACATTGTAAAAGCAAACCCAGAAGGCGAAGCCCAGTTGAATCTTCTTGTTCAATAATAGCAGACCCTAACTGCTCCTCCTCGTATTCATGTTCCTTTTCGCCGGAAACAGAAAGGTCCACGGTGGCCGGGAGGTGGGATCGGTGGCGCTTGACGGAATCATCGGCTTCGGAGGTAAGGTCAACGGTGGCGCGTTTACCGGAATTCATAGTTGAGGAAGATGAAGAATTATTGCGTTTGTTGTTGTGTGGTAGAAGAGGGGCTAGTAGATTACTACTGTGGAGCATGACCGGTGGAAGAAACTGGACAAAACAATAGGGAAAGTACAGTAGAGAGAATCAAAAGTGTTCTAGGGAGAAATTGACAAAAAAATCTGATAAGAATGTCAGAGGAACATTTTGGAGGATTTTGGGATTTGGTATGAATTGATTCATCATTTTTCTCCCTTTTTCTTGTTTGTGAAGATGAATTGAATTATATGAGAGAGAGAGAAGAGAGTCATGTGATGAAAAGAAGAAAAAAGCTCATAGGCTTTTTGGAGGTATCGAGGGAAGGTGGGGTTGAGAAAGAGAGGCTTGTTTCTTGTGTCGAGTGTATATGGAATAATGGAATAACAAAATCTTGTTATAAATAAATTTAAGGGCGTGTTTGGTATGTGAAAATGGGAAAGGAAGAATGTAAACGAAAATGGAGAAAATTGATTTTTGATTTAAGGTTTGAGTTAATAACTTTTCGAATCAGTGTAGTTTTGGATCACAATCTATTCAAATTTGAATCTCATATAATTGAAATCGTCAATACGGACTTAGGCTTTCAAGGGACTCGAAGTTGAATGGAATAATTATGAAATCGCTTGACGTTCAATTTTTTAGTTATGTGAAAGTCGCATACAATTTTTGATGTTCACATTGAAGATTTTCGTCACGTAGAGATCAAGATTCACATATTTTAATCAGGTTGGGATTTAGAGATTCATTTATGAAGGTGAAGAACTCAAAATTAGAGGTGGACATGGTTTCATTTGGTTCTGGTTCCAGGAGAATCGAATTGAACCACGAACCAAATGATTTTTGTTTTTTTGTTTTTTTTTTTTAAGATATGAAATCAAATCGAAACTGAATGGAACCGAATTATTCGGTTTTGGCTTGATTTGGTTATAGTTTCATTACTAATTGAGAAAAAAGAGAAATAACATTTGAGAAAGAAGAACACAAGGTTAAGGCTTCAATTTCAAAAATCTATGCGATTGTGATGGTTGAACACGACGATAGACGACAAGCGGTAATTGTTAGTCTCCTTGTGAGATTTGATATATAAATTGAAAATGAGAGAAAATGA